TCCAGGGTGCCCCAGACCTAACTGCCTTTAGAATAAAAACACTACTGACAGAGGATTATGCCTTGCCTAGAACTTTCCAAATCCCTAAGAACAATAACCTATGGAGAGGGATCAGTGTTTACTGACCACTTGCCTTAGTTTAGGGGAGTGAGGTGAAACAAACGCAGAGATGGACAAGACAGACGGACGTCAGGAACTGCTTCCCATCAGCCACCCGGTGGCTGTGCAGAGACGAGGCTGACGGGGGGAGTGGTGTGCTGAGAACGGTCCCAGGTCATGACTGACATGTCGGGCTGTGAGCCTGGCTCTTTCAACACCCACAACACAGCTCGTCCCTGTTATAAAATCAGGCCCAGCCCTCCCATTTTATAAATACAGGACCTGGGACCAGCAGTTGGCATAATGGCTATGTCACTGGACTCCCATGTAGTTGACCATGGTTCAAGTCCCAGACTCAGTGGCTTAAACTCACTCCGGGTGCGTGTGTGTGTGCCCAAGATCCCGAGAGGAGAATGGAGGAGAAGGGATTGCAGTGTGGCCATCCTCCCTGGGGGGTGATTTCTCACTTTCTGTCTCTGTCTCTCTCTGTCTTTCTGGTGAGCACACGCGCCCTATAGCAAAAACCTCTCAAAAAACAAACAAACAAACAAACAAAACAGGACCTAAGGTCCAGAGAAATGAGCAGAGGGCTGCATTATCACTTAGGGACAAAAGAAGGCCTGGTCCCATTCCCAAGCCCTGCTCCCTCCCAGCTTTGTTACAAGTAACCCCAGGTTCATGAGCTACATGAAGCTGGAATGATGTTTTCCAGGTCTCTTCCAACCTTGACCTTCCAGGGAGGCAGCACAACTTAAGGTAGCAGCCTGTGTCTGCAGTGGCACCGACCTGGGACTGGGCCCCAGTTCTCACCACTTCCTCATCTGTAACGTGAGCAGCAGGATCAACCCTACCCTGGAAAGTTGTTGTGAACATTAAGTGGAATAATATATGGAAAGCATTAAGCATAATTCCTGGCACAGAGCAAGCAGAATTTTAATGGTGTGAACTTGAAGAAATTGCAACAACACTAACCATGTTTCCCCAGCATAAAAACGCCCTACCTGCCAGGCTGTGGTATGCTGTTGACAAAATGCGAGAACATATGTGAAGGCAACTGGGGAGAAAAATCGATATAAAAGGCAAGCCTTGGTTGGTGTGGTTCTATTATTACTATCACTCCTTCCTAGAAGTAGAACCCTGGAGAGTTTCATAGTCAGTTCCAGAGCAGTGGCCAGTACATTGCCTGGTACATAATAAAAGCTCAACAAATCTTCTCCTGTGGCTCCCACTAAACCAGCATGCCTAGTGGGGCGATAAATGTAAATGCCTGATGCACCCAGGCAGGTAAGTAAATAAACCAAGCAGCCTCCAGTAGGAACTGGCCACACTGCAAAGTATCATCCTGCCTGGAAGGGGTCATTCACTACTTCTTTTTTTTTTTTTTTCTTTTTTAATTTGCTAGAGGGTGCATGCACTTACCAGAGAGAGAGGGAGAGAGAGAAAGCATTCCCTATGGGGCATGATCACACCCCAACTCCTTCTCCATTTCTCCCTCTTTTTGGGATTTGGGTGTGCACACACATGTGCCTGGAGTGTTTTCCAAGCTGCATAGTCCAGGACTCAAAATATTTTGTTAGCCACATAGGATCCAGCCACTTTAACCACCAAGCCATGGGTTGGTCTAAATTCAGCATTTCAAAAGATACATCATGGGGGGGGGGGGGCAGCAGTTAGTTGACCGCGGTTCGCGTCCCGGACCCGGTGGCTTAAAATTCATGCTGGGCATGTGTGCATGCGTGCCCAAGATCCCTAGAGGAGTACGGAGGAGCAGGGATTGCGGCGTGGCCATCCCCCCTGGGGGGTGATTTCTCGCTTTCTGTCTTTCTGTCTCTCTCTGTCTGTCTGGCAAGCGCCCGCACCCTATAGCAAAAAACCTCTCCAAAAAAAAAAAGATAAATCATGGGACCAGCAGGTGGCACAGTGGTAGGTGCTGGACTCCCACATGGCCAATCATGGTGCCGGTTCCAGACCTGGTGGCTTGAAAATCAATCGGGCACATGTGTGTGCGTGCCCAAAAATATCAGGAGGAAAAGGGACTTCGGGTGGCCATACTTTCTCACTTTCCCTCTCACTGTCTCTCTCTCTCTAGTGAGCACACATGCCTATAGCTAAAACCTAAAAAACAAAAAAAGACACACCATGCAGGTTGGCCAGGACAGCCATTCTGCAGCCTCTGACATGCCACAGACTCTAGCTCTTCATCACACCACACGTGACATCTTGCACATCATTTAGTCATTTTATATGACTCGGTCTTGTCTTTTCAAGTACACCAGAAGCATCCCAAAAGTGAAGACTGTGACTTATACTCCCTACCACCACAAACGGCCTCAAACAGTGCTGGCCTCATAGTAGACAGCGAAAAATTGTTCAACTGAATAATCAGCTTAAACTCTAGCCAAGGACTCTAGCACCTTTGAGAAGCTGCAGAGGTGTAAGTTTTTCTTTCCAGATCCTGGGACCAGGGTGAGTGAGTGCAGGCAGGGCTGAGGTATGACCAGGTCAAAAGAGCATTTGCCTTGCAGGTTTTTTTCAACTGGATCAAATATGCTTGCTCCTGAGCTACTTGGGCAGGTGGAACTGACATATCTACATTATCTTTCAGGAAGCAAGCTAGTATATGCCGTCTACTGATACCTTTGTTTTTAAAAAGACTGGTCCCTACTTTCTACATCCCCGAATTCCTTGGCATCTCTTACAGGAAGTATGGGGTACAGAAAAGCCCTACTCAAGTTCAACAGATGGAGGTCCCAAACCTGTATCCTTCACTACAAACTCTAAGATGATCCCTGAAAGCTAACATGACTTTCAGATACTCCATCGTTTTTTTTTAAATTGTATTTATTATCATTATTTTAAAATTTGACCAGAGAGAGAGAGAGACTGAAAGTGAAAGTGAGAAGGCAAACCACCAGGTCCAGGACTCAAACCTCAGCTGATCATGTGGAAGTCCAGCGCCTTAACCACCATGCTACCTGCTGGCCCTGCTTTGTCACTGTTAACAGTAAAATGCAGACAACAGTTACCTCAAAAGACGACAGAAGGAATTAAACGATATCAGGTCCAGGGTCCGATCCATTGTCTAAGAGCTAAGGCAACCAGATCCCACATGGCCAACCCGACAGCTGGAGAGCAACCTGGCAGGTTTAAGAAATTGGCAGGTGTGTGTACATGCATGCCCCACATCTCAACAGGACAGAGAAATGGAGGAGAAGGGATTGTAATTGCAGCGTGACCACTCCCCGTGGGGGTGGGGGAGCTCCCTCTCTCTCTGTATCTCTCTTGTGAGCACATGTGCCCTCTGGCACAATTTTTAAAAATAAATGAAAGAAATTATACCACATATATGAAATGTCTAGCACTGCACAGCTCAATCCCATAGTCCCCTAGCCATAAGTGGCTACTGAGCATTTGAAAAATGGCTACTGGAAAGTGACAATGGGGTGTCCTACATGTCAAATGCATGCTAGATTTAGTGTAGAATGAAAAATATCCAGTTAATGTTACTACGTTGATTACGTTACAGTAGTGATATTCAGGGAATATACTGGGTTAGATAAAAATATAATACCAAAGTTAATTTCGCTTGTTTTTTTTTTATGTGGCTATTAGAAAATTTAAATTACATAAATGACTCACATTTCTATTAGACAGTCTCACCAGAGCACAGAGCCTGGCATACAAAAAGTAGGTGTCCTTCCCCCAGGCAGGACGGCAGAGACCAGGATTCATACTCCTTCCTCTTGCCAAATCCAAGTCTTCCATTTATTTATTTAGAGAATATTTACAGTGACTGGCCTTGAGCTGGAGACGTCAGAGTAAAACCAGGCACTATCTCCTCTCTGGCTTATCTTACAACCTGGTGGGATGGACATACCCGAATACTTTCTAAAATAAATGTAAAATGGCAATTGTGCAAGAGTGTTGAAGAAGTAGACCGGGTGATGAAAGTGGGGAACTGCCCAGGTCAGGGAGTTGAACCAGGGATGCCTCCTGGGAGGAAGTGAGACTTGAGCGATCTGAGGATGAAGAGTAGCTAACCAGACTATGCCAAGGGAGAAGGAGGACTAAGCAAAAGACCCTGAGAAGCCAAGAGCTTGGGATGCAGAAGGAACAGAAAAAAGCCAGTGCGAGGAGAGTACTGAGCGAGTATTGAGCCAGCTCAGTACTCTCTGAGACTTGGGAGAGGTCTACAGGACCTGCAGATCTCTCCAGGGCCTGGGTGAGAGATCTGGAGCTCGCTCGCCAAGGGGTAGGTGGGAAGCCGGCCAGTTTTAAGCCAGCGTCCGGATCTGATCTGCATTTTGAAAAGATTCCTCCAGGCACGGTCGAGGCCAACAGGAGAGCGGCCGAGTGCATGTCCGTAGTGAGGCGCTGCAACCGTCCAGGCAAGACAGGGGCCTGAACTGCGGGTGAGCGCTGGGGGTGCAAAGTGGCTGGACTGGGGGCTACTGAGCCCGCAGGAACCACGGGAGGGATGACGGGCCGGGAAGCGGGACGAGGGCGAGCCTGACCTCCAGCTTCCGACCTGTGCCACGACCTGTGCCACCCGGTCCCCAGCTCTCTCCCGGCCCCTTTCACGCCCTCGGCATCCCCTGCCTCCGACCGCTGCCCGGCCCAGCCCCCGCTCCTCTGGGCCAGGCCCGCTCTCTTCCCGATCCCGGGCTTCTTCTCGGACGCTGACCGAGCCTCCCTCCCGCGGGACCGACCTGCTGGGCCGCGACCCCTCGGGGACCACAGGAGCCGGCGCGGTCCAGCCAGGCCCGCCCTCTCCAGCCTCTCAGCCCCCAGAGAAAATGCAGGCCGCAGCCCTCGGCTGGATCTCTTTTCCCTGAGTCCCTCCGGCCGCGGCCCTTTCCTCTACCCGCGACGTCCTGGCTCAGGGCGCGCCCCTCACTCACCAGGGCGCCGACCTAGGCCCAGCTCCCGCGCCCGGGTCTCGCCGCCCAGGCCGCTCCAGCCTACCCGCGACGTCCTGGCTCAGGGCGCGCCCCTCACTCACCAGGGCGCCGACCTAGGCCCAGCTCCCGCGCCCGGGTCTCGCCGCCGAGGCTCCTCCAGCCTCCGCCCGCCCCGCCTTCCTGGAGCCCCGCCCCACGCAGGCCGGCCCGCGCTCCTACTGCTCTGTTTCAACGTCACGTTGAATTCTCTTTCTTTAATTGGGTTGTTTACGTGCCATTCAAACAAGGGCGGGCCCAGCTGCAGGGGGTGAAAAACGCCGGCGGTCCCCGCCCCTTGGTGGAGGCCTCTTAAAGAAACAGGATACCATTCCCCCGCCGGCTACTGGCTAATGGGGCCGGGGGGAAGGGACTTTCCACTGATCATTCTAATTCCCTGGGCCACACCTAGCTGAATTCTGAGGTGATGGTGCAAGGTGTGTGTGTGTGTGTATGTGTGTGTGTGTGTGTGTATGTGTGTAGCCAAGATCTAAGGAAATGGCTTTGTCTTGTGACAAATCAGAGCTCCTGGGGACTAAGCTGTCCTCTGGTGGCACTCAGCCCTGAGCCCAGCGGGCACGGAAGGCACACTCAACAGCGGAGATAACTGTGGTTTGGAGAACTGAGGGGGAGGTGACAGTCGTGTCAGAGGCTGGGGGCAGCCGTGGCTGCTCACCACCGAGCTGGAGCTAATTATACCGGCTCCCAGGGCTGACCGTGGGCGCTGAGCAGAGGCAGAGGGGTACTGCTCAGCTGTACAGTTGGTAGAGAGCCGTGGGAGGTGGCGTTCGTCACTGCACCTGCGGATCGGAACAAGGCCGGGCACGGTGCCAAGGACTCACCCCTACTATCTCCCTCACGCTGCAGCAGCCCTGGTGACAGATGAGGAGACTGAGACTCAAAGAGAGCCAAAGACCATCCATGTGTCAGTGGCCAGCACTGCAAGGTGCCACCTCGTGCCTGTTTGATTCCAGTTTATGCTTTAATCATTTCATCTTACAGATCCTTCCCTACCACAACCCCCAGGCAGGTTTTATTTTGTTGTTGGTTTTACAGATAAGAAACTGATACTCAGCAAAGAGACTAAATAATGACTACAGTTTTTAAGGGTGCTTCAAAAAGCTCATGGAAAATGTGTACTATGAGAAAAGCTGAATTTTGAGATGAATTTCAATTTTTTTCACCAAAATAAACGTGTGCTTTAATTCAACTTTTCATAAACTCTTTGAAGCCCCCTCACATACGACACTTGACAGTCGGCAAAGCAGTTTTACAGACTGTGTGCTGTTTCATTTATCACTGAAAAATATTCTGGAATTGAAGATAACTTTTATTAGTTCCATTTTTAAGAAAAAATTTTAAATAATCTATTTATTATTATCATTATTTTAACATTTGCTATAGGGCAATTTATTTTTAATTTGTACATGTGTCCACCAGAGACAGAGAGAGAAAGTGAAAAAGCAAGGTCTGGGACTCAAACCCCAGTTGCCCATGTGGGAGTCCAGCACCCCAACCGCCATACTACCTACTACCTCCTTTAGTTCCATTTCTTTTTTTTCAGAGAGATTTTTTGCTATAGGGCTTGTGTGCTTGCTGGAGAGACAGAGACAGAAAGTGAGAAATCACCCACTCGGGGGATGGCCACACCACAATCCCTTCTCCTCAATTCTCCTCTAGGGATCTTGGATACACATACACACGCATCCGGTGTGAGTTTTAAGCCACTGGGTCTGGGACTTAAACTGTGGTCAACTACATGGGAGTCCAGCAACATAACTATCACACCATCTGCTGGTCCCTTTAGTTTCATTTTTTAAAGTTTATTTATTTATGTCTCCTAGAAGCGAGAGAGACAGAGACAGAAAAAGAGCATCCCCAACAGAATCTTGACCAGCGATCCACTCCCATCTTCAGCCAGTCTGGGATGACTGGCACACACATGCCCAGTGTAAATCAGGATGATCTCGGACATGAACTGCAGAAGCTTCCCAAATGGGTCAGCCTTGCAGAGCGTTGTGCTTTATTGCTGCGCTATGGTCTGGGCCCGTATTAGTCATGTTTACTAGTGAGTAAAGCGATGATGCTCAGGGAGGTTGAGGCTTAGTCACAGCTAACATTGCTACAACCTTGCAGAGGTGGTCAGCAAACTATCCATCGGGTCCAGATAGTAAATACTTTGGTCTCCCAGTCTCTGTCACACTGCTCAACTCTGCTGTGGTGTGAAAGCAACAACCACACACACTGTGTAAGCAAATCGGTGTGGCTGTGTTCCAACAGAACTTCATTTACAAAACGAGCAGTGGCCTGTGGCTGCAGTTTGTCTAATCCTGGTCTACAGTGTGCTCCTGGATAAAAAGCTCCCCCCTCTCTTTATTCCTAAGTCTTTTGTAGCTGACTGCTTTGTGGGTTCCTCACAAACACCTTGTGATTATTCATAGTATTTTTGCCTATCGTTTATTATTATTATCCATCTTGTTATCATTCTCGTCATTTCAAAAGGAAGCAATGTAAGGCTTGGTGAGGTTAAAGCTCTCCCCAAGGTCAGCTGAGGAATCGGAACTCCAATCCAACTTCCTTCACTCCAAATTCCATCTTCTGTTCACCACACTGTGTTCTGAGTGTCCGGGAGAGTCCCACCTGGGTTGGTTGCTCCTGAAGGCCCTCCTGGCCACATCCTCCCACTCTCTTCTGCCTTCTCCATTCGCCCCAGCCCGTGAGCACCTCTCCCTCCCCGAGTCTCCATGATGCTTACACCCAGCAGCCTTTAATATGACTTAGAATAGAATCTGCTGGAAAATGGGCTCCATGTGGGCAGTGACTGCAGTGGAGTTTGCTAGCTGTCTGCCCAAATCCCTTCTACCTGCCTTCCATGGTAACATGGCTGCCCTGCCAAGCATCAACGCCCAGCCCCGCCTGCAGTGAAGAACTGCTGGGTAAAAGTTCTTGCCAGTGGAAATGATGTGTGAAAATTCAGGCAGGGCTGTTTAGTCAGGAGGTCTGCCTCTTTCTGGACCCAGCCTTGACCTTGTAATGACGATGATTGCACAGGATGACAGAACCACAGCAGAGACGGCGCCAGGGTCCCTGAGTTATCACATGGAGCAGAAAGCTACTGCTGACCCGCAATACTCTCTTCATACTCTTATGTAAAAGAGAAGTAATCTTCCTTGTTCTTTGTCATTAACTCCCTTTTAGGGAGGAGGGGACTATTTGTTAGGGCTGACTCTGCATTCCCAGGACCCTGAGGGTGAGGGTCTCCATAATTTTTGTGCTCTGGTGACTCATTTACATTGCCCTAGTTTAGACCTGGCTTAGTACACAATGATCCAGGGAATGAGTCATTCATTTAAACTTTACAATAGTTTGTCTTTTTTTTCCCCCTCCTGAAATGCCAGTGCAGGTTCTTTGATTCCAAGTCTTAGGAGCCAAATCTGGCCATCGTTAACAGAAGAGGGTTTTATTGGCAGGCTTGTGGCTAATCACAGAGGTGACAGGCAGCTGGAGGAACAAGCTTAGAAAAGGACTAGGATTGGAGGTGCTTTGAGAGTTGAGGCAGCTGAAGGAATCAATCCCTCCCCTCCCAACACTTAGAAGTTTTTGCCCTAGGGTGCATGCGCTTACCAGAGAGAGACAGAGAGAAGCAGTGAGAGGGAAAGTGAGATATTCCCCAAAGGGGGATGGCCATGATACAATCCCTTCTCCTTCATTCTCCTCTTGGGATTTTGGGCATGCCCAAAATGATTTTCAAGTTGCCAGGTCCAGGACTTGAACCATGGACAGCCATGTGGGAGTCCAGCACCTTAACCGCCATACCAGTTGCTGGCCCCTCTTTTCTCCCTTTCTTGATCAGAGGTTTCTTTGAGCAAAGTCCCTGGACCAAGAATCTTATTGGCCAAGCTTAGGTAACTTGTCTGGTCTTTAGCTAAGGAGGACAGTCACTGATGATGACAGCGTCACCAACACTGCACGTAAGTGAAGCCCAGACCCCTTCCCCTCCACCGCAGTTGCTACCACTGGGTAACTGAGGCCAGCTGCCCTGTCTACAGGATGGGATCAACTAGGAGGGGAAGGACCTGAAGTTGAGCATCATGATTACAGGAACCCAATCCAGCCCATGCTAGAGCGTCATAAAGACCCTGAGCTTTGTAATCATGCAGACCTCTCTGCCACTCACCAGCTGTGCATCTTTGGGTACGTTACTACATTTCTCTGAGCCTCACTCTCCTCATCTGTACAATGGGGGTGGGGAGAGGGGATGAAACTATTGGCCTTATTGGATTGGCATGAGAATTAAATGAGATACAGTAAATATATAACACCTAGCACAATGCCTGGACATAATATAAGTGCTCAAAAATTGTAAATTACAAATCATAGTAGGCCTTCAATAAATACTTTCTGTGATGGGGTCGGCAGGTGGCGTGGTGGTTAAGGGTGCTGGACTCCCACATGGCTGACCATGGTTTGAGTCTGGACCTGGCAGCTTACTTTCTCACTTTTCCTCCCTCTCTCTCTCTCTCTCTCTCTCTCTCTCTCTCTCGCTATGTCCCTCTGTTGTCAAATTAAAATAAATAAAGTTAAATGAAATAATTATTTAAAAAAATAAATACTTACTGTAGGACTGGATTACTTACACTATTTTCAACAAAATCACATCTGAAACTGAAATATATTGAAATGCTCCTTTTAGGGGCCAGCAGGTGGCGTGGTGGTTAAGGTTGCTGGATTCCCACATGGCCAATTGCGGTTCGAGTCCCAGACCAGGTGGCTTGCTTTCTCACTTTTCCTCTCTCTCTCTTTCTCTCTGTACCTCTCTGGTCAAATTAAAAATAAATAATAAATAAATAGAAATAAAATAATTCATATATTATAAGAAATGCTCCTTTTGTTCTCTGATCCACTGACCCCTGGGCCATCTGTCATCCCCTCTTTGGCCTCACTTCCCTCCTTACCGAGCTCAGACCTCACTCTCCACTAGACTCATTCCTGTGCTCTCCCTCAAGTCCCACCTTCCCTTTGCTCTCCGACTACGCACCTAGAGATCCCAACTCTGCTTAAACCCAACTTACACAGCTCTCCACGTGTGTCCAGCAACTGAGTTGGGGCTAAAGAAAACTGCAAAGCCTTTGCCTCGAAGGGTCCCCACAGCAGGACGATCTCACTGCACCCGTCTTCCTGGCCAGCTCACTCGCCCACAGGCTGCCCTGCTTCGTTGTCTCTCTTCTGCCTCCAATTCCTCACTCTTAGTTGATGACCTTCTTATTTTGGGGGAGAAACCATTTTTAAAAAGAGTAATTGAACAATAAAGAGAAAACGATCTCATCTTCTGGTCTCTGAATCCACCAGTCCACCTGCAGCACCAAGTCCTGCCTTCTCTCCTGTCACCGTAAGTGCGTGGTCACTACTCCTAGGTAAGGGCAGGTCTGCAAGGGGGCTGAGCTTCCACCTCCTCTCACCGACTCAGAGAGTTTGCTGTGCAGTTGCCCCTCTCCCCACGATATCAGGGTTCGTCATCCCATGGGCTTCCAGTGTGTTGTGACGTGGCCCGTCTTCACAGTGGTGGGGAGTGTAGAAAGGCAGGAGCTTTGCCTTGGTCTACAAGACTCAGCGATCTGACTGATGACTTAATCCGTCCCTGCTCTCTCCCTCACTCACTCTGCTTAGATGTCACAGTCTAGTTTCCCATTCTTTGAGCACAAAACTTCTTCCAACCTCTGTGCCTCGTGCTTGCTGTTCTCTCTCCTCGAGAGCTCTTCCTTGCATAGCTTACCTCTTTACTTTCTTCAGCCATGCTCTAATCTCTCTTCAGACAAGGTTCCCTGCCTGCTCTGTCTCCTATAAGCCAGCCCCCACCCCACTCTCCCCACACCTGCCCTCATCCTCCTAGCCCTAAATGTCATATCGCTCCTCTGGCTGACATCTACCTTAGCTGGAAATTCAACAGCAGGAGTGTTGACTGCCATGTTCATAGCAGCATTCCCAGTTCCTAGCACAAAGCATATGGTCAATATCCCATTTCCTGCATCATTGAATATACAAATAAAATAAACCATGGGTAAATGGAAGGTCTCTGTGAACTTGACTTCTGTTGGAATCTTTCAAAGAACATCAGTGAGTTAAGCATGGCCTTTCTTACATATAGCTATTATCAAAATACAGTCTCCGCCACTATACCAGAGAGAGGTCTGAAATGGTTGCTCATAAAAAGATCAAAACCTGGTAAAATAAATAGAACCAGGATTTATCATGGGTCCGCTCTATACCAAGACTGATATCGGAGGTTGTTATATATATTATCACATTTAAAACTGTCAGCTTGGGACCATCAGATAGCATGGTGCTTATGTCACTGGATTCCCACATAGCTGACTATGGTCTTCTAGACTCGGTGACCTTTAAAACTCACGCCAGTCGCATATGCGTACATGCCCAAAATCTCAAGATGAGAGTGGAGGAGAAGGGATTGCAGCATGGCCATCCTGCCAGGTGGTGATTTATTACTTTCTGTCTCTCCCCCCCCCCCCCCACCCCCCCACCACCCCCAAGAAAAATCTCTTCTCTCCCCCTCCAAAAAAAAAAAAAGACCTGTCAACTTTCTTTGGAGTATTACTGTGCTCATTTTTTAAAAAAGAATTATTGAACTTTATTTATTTATTTAAATTTGACCAGAGAAGGACAGAGTGAGAGAGAAAGAGATAAAGAGAGAGAGAGAAAGTGAGAAAACAAGCTATCAGGTCTGCGGTCAGCCAGTGGGAGTCCAGCACCCTTAACCACCACACCACCTGCTGGCCCCAGTTGTACCCATTTTTTGCAGATGAAGATCACTGAGGTTTAGAGGTGCAAAAACAAAACAAAACAAAACAGAAGACCCCCTTATGGTCACAGACTGGCTAGTGTCCAATCAGTTTGACTTCACAGTGCATGTCCTTACACTACACAGTGGAAACAAAATATCTCATCCTTCAACATGTTCTTTTTATTAAGCTTCGATACACATGAAAGTATATGTTAAAGCCTTTGCATGACCTATGTCACTTGATCCTCACACAGTGAGGTATACACTATCATTACCCACATTTTACAAATGAGGAAACAGGGGTCCAGAAGGTGGCATAATGGCTACGTCACTGGACTCCCATGTAGTCGACCACTGTTCGTGTCTCGGACCCAGCGTTTTAAAACTCACACTGGGCATGTGTGCCTATGTGCCCAAAATCCCGAGAGGAGAATGGAGGAGAAAGAATTGCAGTCTGGCCATCCCCCTTGGGGGTGATTTCTTGCTTTTTGTCTCTCTGTCCCTCTAGCAAGTGCACGTGCCCTATAGAAAAAAAAATCTCTCCCTAAAAAATAAATAAAAAATGAGGAAACAAAGCACAAAGCGTTTAGTCATCTGCCCGGTGTGAGGAAGGTGAGTGGTGCAACTAGGATTCAGATCCAGTTCTTTCTCATTCCCAGACCCGTCTTCTCTGTAACACTGCGTTGCCTTCCTTAAGGCAGCTCTCTGCCTCAGAAAGAGAAGAAAAAGGGCTAAAACAGATGAATCAAGTATCATTAAGAAAATTCATGGTGTCTTGGTTCTTTAAGCGGGAAGCAGAGGGCAAGGAGCAGCCAGCCAGTCTAGCATCCGCTTTTGCAGGCCGGAGGTTCACATAACTCAGGATAACTTAATTTGCAAAGATCCGTTCTTCCAGGAACTGGGAGTTACATATATCTGAGAGTGGAATCCTAGAAAGGGATGGGGGACTTAGAGACGCTGGTGAGCCTCAGCTGAGACAGGTTCAAGCTGCCTGCCAAAGACTAACGCCCTCTGCTGGCATAGAAATGAGCTCCAATATCTAACCTGTGTGTGTGTGTGTGTGTGTGTGTGTGTGTGTGTGTGTGTGTAGAGGGGCAGGAGGGCACCGGAAGAGCATATTTAATGAGACTTGTAAAAATTTTAGCGCACATAGTGAATAAAAATAATAACCACTTTCCAATATAACATGGGAGGGGGGCAGGCAGGCCCTGTTTTCAGGATCATAAGTTAATTTATTTACTCCTAGGAACTTTACATACTGCATCTAATTTAACCTTCACTCCAACTCTCTGAAATAGGAATTCTTATTCTGATTACTCCAATTGTTCACAAGAGGAGGCCAAACTGCAGGGAGGTTAAATAATTTGTGATCCAACTATTAAATGGTAGATCTGGGGCTTGAACCAGTGGACTCTGACCTTGGGTCTCCACTCTAGAAACCACTACATTGTCATTCCTTAGGAATGAAGTGCCCTCTGGTAAGTCTCTTTGTTAAGAGCTTTACTCAGAGAAGACACAGGGCAATGGCTCAATAAATTATTAGAAAATGGGTGACCAGACAGTGGCACAGAGGTGAAATGCAACTGCTCTGAAAGGTAATCCCACATGAGAGGTTCCCAGTTCAAGTCCAGAGGCCTCCCTGGGTATGCCGAGCACAGGCTTGTCCATGATCCATGGCTGGCTGAAAGCTTGTGGGGGTGGATCTTGGAGTTAAGGTCTTGTTGGGGGCTCTCTCTCGCTCTCTTTCACTCAAGGAATGAGTAAGTAAATGTGTATTCTTTTTCTTTCTTTCTCTCTTTTTTCCTTTGTTCCTTTAAAAGAAAACAGATAAGTTTGCAGCTTTTTGTATTAAAGCATAAGGAGACTATAGCTTCCTCTGGGTGGCTGGTCTTGAACCTACAGCATCTCTCTGAACAGGAAATAAGCCAGCAGTTAGAACCCTGGACCTGCTTCTCCAGCAGCAAGATATTTGTTTTAACAAAAGCAGGTAGTCCTGATCCATAATGTAAGATATTTAGCAACCAGAGACAGAATACAGACAGATCAGAACAGCTAGTCTCTGGAGCAGGGTCCTAGAAGTTGTTCTTTTCTTGTCCCCCATGGAATAGCCAAGGCCTTAACCCTTTAGTTACTGGACTGTGGGGTTAGATGTGGAGGAAGAGGTTAGATGTGGAGGAAAGAGGTCAGAGCTGCTGGGGTGGCAGGGATGTCACACAGAGACAGCTACTCCTTACTAATGGCCATGTAGGAGTTGCAACATAGTAACAGTTGGTTTGGTTCTGCTGGCTGAACATTGCCGCCTTTACTGTGTATCCTGGGGTAATGTGCTCCACCTCTCTGAAATTCATTATCTTCCTCTGTAAAGCAGGAATATTGGTAACTAACTCCTGGGGCTGGTGAAGGGGTTACCTGGGATAGAGCAGATAAAGGACCAGCTTCTGGCTCAGGGTAGATATTCCGCCCTTGGGAGTTGTCATAAATGGCACGAACAGAGGTGTGTGTGTGTGTTTATGTGTGCACGTGCATGCCTGTTGGGGTGGTGAGAGTGAGGTAGCCTTGCTGACCCAGGGCCCCGCTGTCTCACCATCCCTTGCCTTCATCCCCTCCAACTGTAAGCCAGGTCCTGGAGGGACCTGAGGGGTCCTCAGAGCCTAGGGTGGGGGAGGTTTGGGGGCGTGCTTGCTGGTGCATGCTCCCTTTTCTCCCATAGACACCTCCACGAGTTTTCTTGAATTGATGTGGTTCGCCCACAGCCTAAGGCCTCCGTCATAGAAGAAATGAAGGGCCTGGCCTTGGACGTGTCCTGAGAGGTGACTGTGTGGAGAGGTTCCAGCTTGCTGGAGAAAGACCTCCTTACATGAGAGTTGGTCTGTTTCCACACGGTGCATTCGAGCCAGGGGCCGTATTTTGGTGAGCAAAACAAACATGGTCTCTGTCCTCAAGGCATCACAGCCACACAGCAGAGAGAGAGGAGACGTAAACAAACAAACAAACAAATACTGTAACTGTAAACTGTGAGAACAAGTGTGGGGGGGTAGTTGGATTCACTTCCCCACATTCCATCACTCAGAGGAGGAGGGTAGTGTGATCACGGAGGTCTTCTATGAGGGGGTGCTGATTCCGTTGTGATCTGACAAGAAAATAGTGGTTTTCCAGGTAGAGGGTAGGGTGTTTCGAGTAGGAGGAACAGCATGTGGGAGGTAAAAAAGATTATGACTTGACCTGGATGGTTGGACCATAAAAGGAAAGAGAAGAGGAGTAGGAAGAAGTCAGCTACTCAGGACTAGTCAGCCCTGCTGTGAAGAATTTTAGTGTCAGTCTGTGTATAACGGGAATCCCTCGGAGGGTTGTAAGGAGAGGAATGACATGATCTAAGTTTTTTTTTTTTTTTTT